GTTGGTTTCCTGCAATCTCTAATTTTACCATATTGTGTGAAACCGCAAGAGATTCTTTGGAAGTGATTTTATTTGAGGTTTTACTGCTGCATGGATCTGCTACTGATTTTTTTTTTCTTCTCTGCCTTCTTCCCTCCACCTCCACGTCCATCTTGCCCTTTGGTAAAGGGGTGGGGGAGAAAAAGATTACAAAGCAATGCTGGGAACAATTCTTCTGGACCTTACATTCTTAGGTTTAAGAAAACTCTCAATTAAAAAAAAAGAAAAAGAAAACGTGGGGCAGGGTGGCTCACGCCTGTAATCCTGGCACTTTGGGAGGCCAAGGCAGTCGGATCACCTGATGTTAGAAGTTCGAGACCAGACTGGCCAACATGGTGAAACCCTGTCTCCACTAAAAATACAAAAATTAGCCGGGCGTGGTGGTGCATGCCTGTTATCCCAGCTGCTCAGAAGACTGAGGCACATGAATTGCTTGAACCTGGGAGGTGGAGGTTGCAATGAGCTGAGATCACAACCACTGCACTCCAGCCTGGGCGACAGAGAGAGACTCTGACTCAAAAAAAAAAAAAAAAAAATTGAAATGAGGAAATTAGCAATAATTCTCAGCTAAAATGAAGAGAACACAACAAAAGTGGTCTTTTAAAAACTATAATTATTAGCCAGGCGTGGTGGCTCACGCCTGTAATCCCAGCACTTTGGGAGGCTGAGGCGGGCAGATCACGAGGTCAGGAGTTCGAGACCAGCCTGGCCAACATGGCAAAACCCCGTCTGTACTAAAAATACAAAAATTAGCCGGGTGTTGTGGCACATGCCTGTAGTCCCAGCTACTGGGGAGGCTGAGGCAAGATAATCTTGAACCCAAGAGGCAGAGGTTGCAGCGAGCTGAGATGGCGCCATTGCACTTCAGCCTGGGGGACAGAGGGAGACTCAGTCTCCAAAAAAAAAAAAAAAAAAAAAAATTACAATTATGATTTCAAATAAAAAAGTAATAGATTTAAAAGATGTCTAGTCTAGTTGCTACAATAAGCATCCATAACTTTTCCTATTTCGTGTAGTATCTGTACTAGATAACATTTAGCTTTTGCAATTACTTAGGCTATTGCTGAGTTGAAAATTTGATAATAAGCAACAAATGAATGGGAATATACCCACATATACATCAAAAGAAAATGAACAAGCTGACAATCTTTCTGTTTCTCTGCAGAGCATAAAAAGGGTACTGTGTTTTTCAGAGAAAATTTCCAGTGGAAGCATCATACATTTCACATAAAAACATCATTGACATACGAATGTTAAAGGTAAAGAAGATTACGGTTAACAGGCTTTAAATGGAAGACCAAAATTATAGATTTCATAAGGAGGACTATTTTCTTTTAAACAGGCTGTAGGCAATCTGCACATATATTATTTATTTAAAACATAAGATTAAAGCTACTTGACTGTTTAAACACCATCATTTGTAATGCAGTTTGATGAGAGTTTTGTAGTATAATTATTACAGCATGACAATCATGGAGAAAATATGACCTTGAAAAGGGCAGAGCCTTCTCCCACTCTGACAGACGATGCTCTAAATGGGAAGAAAAGGCTTCAAAAACCAAAACCAACCATTTTTATGTGCACAATTAAAGGCCTTCCAATTTTAAATTCATAATGATCTGTAGATACTAGATACTACATTATAAGGAAATCAGAAGGCCTGGTGTTTCAAACTCTATTGGCAAGGAAAGACTAGTTAAAAGAGAATTTCCAATGTTTACTCATGGCAAACTGGGAAATATGGTGAGCAGACACATTGTCTGTGAGTAGATACATTAGAGAACATTTAAAGATGCCTTAGAACTGATTTTGAGGGCAGCGGGGTAGGGAAAGGAGAAGTAGCAACACTTTTGCCCCGTCTCAAAGCATATTTTAGTGGCTCTGTTTAAACTTAATGAGAGTGTGCCAGTTATTTAAGATACAGGCACCACGTAAAGCCTGGGTAAGCTGCGGAGGAGTATCAGTTGCTCCAGTTGTCACAGCATGTATACAAGCATACTTGTGGCATCCAAGCACTTTCTATCCAGTCCTGGAGCTGATAAGGGATGAACTGGCCGCAGACTGGAATATGTGGCTCGTACATTAGATGGTTTCAAGGAAAACAGGTTGCTAAAGGCCTGAGGTCCTATGATTCCAAAAAGTCCTGTATGTCGAGCAAAACTCTCATCATCACCAAATTTAACCAAATAGAGTGAGGCAGTGCTTTCTTCTTTTTTGTTCTCCATGTTAGCAAAATGAATAATACAGCCGCCTTCCCAACTGTACTTAATGAGAACACCACAAAGCTACAATGCCCAACTTGTTTAAGAATGTACTATGGCTTCGTACAGACAGGCTAAAATAGCTTTTTTATTTTTCATTTATAATTGATATTTGGGAGTGATGCAATTATAGACAAATCAATATCATACATATTTAAAAACAACTCCAACAGTGAAATGTATTATCTAAAACTTCTAAAACTACTTCAAGAAAAAGATCTCTGTAAAAACACATCTTTAAATAAAATGTATGTCTCTTTAAATAAGCTCCTCCCCATAAGTCTCTTGAAAGTAAAATAATGGGAACGTGGGGGTTATTAATACCAAAAACTTAACTAGTTTCCAACATAAGATAAATACTTGTCCAAGATGTGCCCTTATAGAAAAAGTTACCACCGTTTGGTTAAACCAGCATTATTCACTCACTGCTCATGTGGAAGTAGCTCCATTGGACTGTTCTTCAAACAAAAGTATAAAATGCAGCAATACTGACGGTTTTCTGCTGTGGGTGTATTTAGAGACATACACAAAAACCGAAGACTCTCAGCATTAATTATACAGCGTGTCTTGATTATTACAATCTCAAAATCCCTTTTAACTCAAGTTCCACTTCATAAGAACCTTAGCCACGTCATTTACCTAACTCTTCCCATTTAGCTCTTCACACAGCTCAGCTCAGGAGTACCACCCAGACTATGGGGGTGGGGTGTGCGGGACAGGTTTTTCAAGTCTCAGTGCTGGTTTATTACATTGTCTCTCTTTGTTCCCAGGAATTGGAAACAGACTCGTGGTCTTGTAGCTGAGAGGCTCCTAAAAACCTCAGCCGCTCCCCTCCTCTACTAACAGCGAAGTCTGGACTTTTAAGACGAAGAACTGAGATTTCACGCCCCGGGCAAAGCGTCTCATCTGCGGACACGCGTGCCTTGTTCTGGCAGCACTCTGGGAATCCTTCCCGCCAAACGGGGCAGGACGATCTTTTTGAAAAGTGGCTTGAAATCCTGCAATAAAAACCAAATCCTACCACTTTGGGTGCAAAGGGGGTGGGTGGGGTGGGAGGACATCATAGTCGTATCTGCGGCTGGTGTACCTACGCCAACCGTGCCGTTGCTCATTTACGCATTTCCAACTAAGTGCACAGTCCACTCCCTCTCGTACATCCGTAAAAAGGCAGCTCAAGGAAAAACAAACGTCAGATATATTTTTGAATGTGGCCTCACTTTCAGAGTAGCATCAAACAAGGGGGTCCAGCACTGAAAAACACATTTGCTCGAATTACCAAAACCCCCCCCTCCGCCTCCAATAAGAAGCTACGCAGCTAGTCTTTGAGTTACTTTCACTTAGATCTGAGGATTTTCATTAAAGGGAAAAGTGAGCAAGGGGCAGGATTTTTGCTAACTCGAGCCCCCAGCTTCCTCGGCTGCACGCTCACCAGTCCCTCCCGCTAGCGCGCTCCTGCGCGCTCTCTAGCCAGCCCCACGTTACTTTGATTGACAGCCCAGCCCCGCCGCTCTCCTTCCCACCGACCTTCCCATCTTCAGTGCCAATCTCCGCGAATCGCCTCTTCCCATTGGATGGTTTTGCCGTCCCGCGGCTCCTCCAGGAACAGTTCCTCACCAAGCCCGGGAGGACGCGGCTGGCGGAGGAGGGGCCGGGGTGGGAGGGGAGACCGAGGAGACCGCGGAGAAGGAAGCGAGAGGACCGGGGAGGGAGAACGGCCCGTCCGGCGCTGCGCTGCCATAGGCTCCGGGGAGGCGCGCGTCAACGCCCCACGTTGGGTGCAGCGCACTCGATTGGCTGATGAGGGCCTCCTGCCCCCCCCCCCACCAACCTCCCGGGCCCGCGTCCCCCGCCAGCTCGGAGCTCGCGGCCCCCGCCCGAGCGGGGCTGGGCGGGGCCGGCGCTGGTTAGCTCCGGAGTGTGAAACCGCGTGTTAATGTAACCGGCGCGAGAGGCGCGGGCGGCGGCGGCGGCGGCGGCGGTGGGAGCGGCGGCTGCAGGAGCAGCAGCAGCAGCAGCAGCAGCAGCGGCGGCGGGTACTCTGTGCCCCGCGTCCCGGAGGCAGCCGACTGCGCCACCCCACCCTCGCACGGCCGGGCGGGACCCGCGCCACCAGCCCGGACCTTCGTCGTCCCGCGGCGACCAAACCCCCGCTAGCCCCACCGCTGTGACTACTCCGGACTCGCCCGCAGAGTTTGCCCGCCGGGGAGGGTGGCCGATTGGCTGAGCGCACTCCTGCTGTTTTCCCCACCGTCTCGTGGATGTCGTCGCTCGGGTGGTGAGAGAACTTTGCAGCGGGCTGGAGCGCCCTTTGCGGAGAAGCACAAGAAGGTAAAGGAAGGAAAGAAAGAAGACCGGCCGTGCAGGGCGAGTGCGCGCGAGGCGCAGCGCCCTGATGCTCCTCGGGCTCGAGGAGCAGCGGGCAGTTGCTGGACTGCTCTCGGTGGAGTAGCCCCGTCGGTCCCGGAGGGTTTGTGCAACCGCGGAGAACACCAAGTGTTGGTCGCACGGGGCGTGCCGAGTCGCCTCCCGGCGCGCCCTCCGCACTTTCCCCGCCTCGTCATCCCTCGCTCCCCGGCCAGGAGCCTCCGCCGCTTCCTCAGCCTCGCTCCCCTTTGCGTCCCGGGAGCCTGCGAGCACCTGGCCGAAGGCGCAGCCGAGTCTTGCGGGAGTAGCCCCGAAAGCGTCGGGTTTGTTTGTGTGGGGTTAGCGGGGGCCGCCTCGCCACCTGCATCTCGCCCGCCGCCGCCTCGGGGAAAACCCGAAGAGGAGGCGGACCAGGAGAAGAGCAAAGAAAAGCAGCCCGTCTGGATTTGTTTGCCCAGGACTGGCGCCGCGCACGCGGATCGCCGAGGGGAGTGCGGTCGGAGTCACCGCGCCCCCGCCTCCCCGCCCCGGCGGCTGAGGCCGGGGGGTTGGAGCGCTGCCCCCGCGCACAGTCCCCGAGCGCCCGGCGTCTCCGCGCAGGTTCTCGAAGCAGCTGGGCCTGGGGCGCCCACCAATGTGGCCCTGAGGGCCGGAGCCCGCACCGACGGGAGCGGCAGCAGGAGCAGCTGCGGGCGCCGAGTGGCCGGTGCGCCCGGCCGAGCGCGCCTGCGTGCGTGGCCAGCGCGCTCCCCGCTTCTGCCTGGCTTCCCGGCTTAATTTTCCTCGGCGGGATTAAAGTTGGAAATTGACCGGAGAATTGAGTTGCCGGGGAACAGAGCCCCGGCCGCCGCCAGAGCGATGTTCCCGCAGAGCCGGCACCCGGTGAGGCGCGGCTGGGTGGTTGGGGGGCAGGAGCGTTGGGGAGGCGCTTCTCCCGGGCGGTAGGGAGACTGGTGGCTTCTGCGGCCCGGCGGACCCTCTCGCCCTCCGCGGCATAAGGCTGGGGAGGTCTGGGGCCCTCTCCTCTTGGGGTGGGGAGTGGGCCGAAACTCTGAATTTTCTCCCTCCCTTTGGGCTCCTTCCTACTTGACGTCTATACTGAGCGGATAGGGGCGCTGGGGAAGGCTGGGGTTTCTCTCCTGCAGCCATATCCCCCCCCAACCTTCCCCAAGGGGGGCAGGGCGCCCCCCCTTTGTTTCTCGTCTCGCCTATTTACATGTCAATGCGGCCCCGGTTCCGGTGCGTCTGGAGGTGGCCCTGGCGACTCTGGGAATGGGGCGCGTAAAGGAGTTGTTTTTCTCTTCTGGTCCTCCGGGTCATTATCGCCCCCGTGGGGGAAGGGGCGGCGACACCGACAATCTGGCCTGGTCTTCCCTGGCCGCCGGGGAGCCCCCTTCCCTTTGGCCTGGTGACCCGGGCGCACTTAACGCGATCCGCCCTGGAGACTGGGAAGAGCTTCCGAGCCTCTTTAGAAGCCGGGGCCCGGGGAGGGTCCACTTTCCCCCTCCCCCAAGTGAAGGGCAAACTCGAGTTTGGGGCCTCATTTTCAGCCACTTCTAACTTTATTTTTTGTTTATGTCCCACCCGTTCTTTCCTTCTCTGACTTACTGCTTTATTCATCCGCCCGCATTCCCGTCCCTCGGTCCCCCTCGCTGGTCGCCCCCAGACGCCGCACCAGGCTGCAGGCCAGCCCTTCAAGTTCACTATCCCGGAGTCCCTGGACCGGATTAAAGAGGAATTCCAGTTCCTGCAGGCGCAGTATCACAGGTGCGTGTCCGGCCGCGCCAGGCGAGTGGTCGCGGGCGTCCCCGTGCCCCTTGTCGCCCAGCCGGGTGGCGGCGGCGCCTGTACTTAGTTCTTGCGTCCAGGCGGTGGCGTGTGGAGTCTCAGTTAAGACCTGTCATTCAAGTTACCCCCTTTCCTGGTTCTTCCCGGGCCGCCTCTTCTCTTGTCTCCTCCTCCTCCCATTGTTTCCCTTTTGCTGGTTTGCTGCTGTTCCAGGGAGTCCTTTTTCGTGTCTTTAGAAGTTGCATGAGAATCGTCAATATTTGCACTTCATGTATTTATTTTTCAACAGACTGAGTTGAAACATTGGTTCAATCGATGTCTGAGTCCTGGAGTGTGGGTTCAGGGAAGCAAAGCCATGTTGAAATCGCTGTTTGCCATACTAGAAAATTGGGTTTTTGAGGCAAAGTTCATTAAGGAAGGCTAGATGCTTTTAACATTGCCCATCATTGGCGATGGTGAGGGAGGTGGGTATAATAGTGTGCAGAAGAAAGCTCACCTGCTTTGGCGTCATTTCGGGTTGGTTTGGGTAGGATGGGAGAGTGGAGTCACATTTATATCCATCTCAGCCTTAGTTTCTTTGAGTAATGAGGCTTGCCTCCAAAGGACTTATACATTTTTGTAAGATACTTTGCCAATAGTGAACTTCCCAGAAAGGTTAATTTCTTTCCCTTGCTCCTATGAAGTTTTACCTGATTCTAACTCAGAAATAACTGTATTGACATTTTTTGGTTTTGTCATGCTTGAGAAAAAGCACACAGATGAGGCGAAGTGGCTTGGGTGTGAATTTTCTTACTTTGTCAGGGGCTTTCTGATTATTGACCTTTTGTCTACTTGTAGATAATATCTCTGCAGCTTGAGGCCTACTTGCACACACCGTGTTTACCCAGCAGGGAGAACTTCAACCCACTTTATTGCAGTAGCTACTTGACATATTTTGGCAGGGATTTAAAAACCAAAGGTTTTGAAAGGGACTAGCAATTGTAGGAATAACTTAACAGATAGGATTTTCAAACCTAGAGACCGTTTGAGTTGGCAAAGATGGCACAGCCTATGCGTAAGAGTGAAGATTGTGCAAGAGCCGGATTTTGGTGGAGTCCAGAGAAACTGATGCAGGAAGGTAGGGAGCAGATGACCATGAGGAGGAATCAGTTAGAGGTTCTGACAGATTTTTTGCATTCTTGTCATCTAACCAGATAGGCACCAAGAAGAATGGTAGCTGAATGGACACCTTGTATTGTTCACATTATTCCTTTTCCCTGTTAAATGCAAGGACAAAGCTTTTGGGTGTTTACCTAGATAGTTTATGGCTTTTCCAAATTGGTCTGTGTTTTTACTTGAAGTGCAAATATGTGAGGCAGATGTTAAAACAAGTGACATAATGTTTACATTAAGTTGCCTGTTTTGTTTTCATAGCCTTAAATTGGAATGTGAGAAACTGGCAAGTGAAAAGACAGAAATGCAGAGGCACTATGTGATGGTAGGTATCAAAGAGTCGACTTTTTCCCTTTTCGTATGATATTAGCAAACGTGTTAGCAGAGTATAAAAAACGTGAGTTAATGAAATGCTTGATTCTTTTTTCTCTTTACAGTATTATGAAATGTCATATGGATTAAACATTGAAATGCATAAACAGGTAAGCTTTAGTTGAACTTCAAGCTGAAATGAGAAATCAGTTCGTATGATTTTATAATACTGGCTTTGTTCTCAGTAGTGGGCTCTAGGGGTGGGGGTTTGTATGCTATTTTTCTGCCTTGGTTTCCTGTCCTGTGGATTGATGGTAGTATTCTGCAGCAAGAGTTGCTTCCTGATAATTACGAGTGTTTAATGACTAGGAGAAAGAGAGGTGTTTTGGAAATATAAACTAGCCTGTTTATTGGCAGATAGGAATTGAGACTTGAGTTTACTTTTCCACCTGTATAGATTATCCTCTTGAAAGGGCTGGGTATCTTATAGAGTTGTTGGAGTTTAGAATAGTTAATGTTTTTGTGCTGTTTTGCAAGTATGTGTGGACCTGTAGGGGGAAAGAAGGGTATTCAGGAGTTTCTTTAATCATAGTAAACAAGGTATATGACTATCTTTGGAGTATTCTTAATGCTTTGGGTCTGCTCGAAGCAACAGTCAGGATTAGTGGCTTATTAGCAAACAAATTTTTGAAAAATTTCTCAGTTGTTGCAGGTTTGGATGTGAAAAAAGCATCTTTTTATGGCCAGAGCATATGTTGGGAGTTGCTTCAGTCCTAGTGATTTTAAAAGCATGAAAAGATTAGTGACTGGAAAGCTCTAGCAATGACTATGAGTTTGCAAGTTCCCATAAAATTCACACTTATGGCTACTATAATGGTGTATAAAAAGAGTATTGAGCTGGAACAAGGCACTAAGGACCTCATAAGAGAAGAAAAGCTAAATGATTGCTCAGCCCAAAGGACCCTCGATTGAGTAGTCATTGTCTGCCAAAGAAAGCATTAATGGCAGGGTGTAAGTATTCTGGAGATATGCTGACATTCACTTTTTCATCAAGACGCTGGTACAATAAGTCTTTTAGAAATCGATTGCCTCTTAAAAAATTATCATCAGATGAAGTTGCACAGTTGGACACATTTCAAAGTGCAACAATACAATTCTTACTTGATGTATATGTGCTATTTCATCTCAAACCCTTGTTTCATTAAATTAAAGAGCATGGCTGACCGGCTGGGGCACAGTGGAGAAATTGATTAGTTCAGCCTTCAGATCTTCCTTATATTCAAAGACTTTCATTAAGCAAGTGTGTTTCAGAGTTGAATTCTGCTTTTGTAACTCTGCACTCTTTGATTTTTAATTCATCATAGATTTCATAATGTTAAGTTATCATCGTGTACATTAGATCTGTTCTCAGATATGTGTTTGGAAAGAGATTGTGATGTTCAGGGCCTTTTATTAGTAATGTAATTGGGCCTTTTAAAAATGCAGATTTTACTATGATTTGCAAAGTTGGTAGCCTACTTTATGTTGGGTTTGTGCCTTTGTTTTTGTGTGTTTCTCAATGGCTAGTGCCTTATTCAGGCACTTGTAACTTGTTGATAGTAAATGGGCTAGAAGATCTATGGCTAACGTCTATCATCATTTAAGTGAATTATGCAAAAAAACTTGGCCTAGGCTGTTTTAATTTTTTTTTTTAAATTACTCTGAAGGGCACTTTTTTTTGGATAACACATTATGGAAGAGTAAGAGGAGACTGAGCTTTTTCTTAAATCCATGAACTCAAAGGATTTAATAACTTCACTGATTCTTTTACAAGGAAACACCCCCTCGGTGTGATGCTATATGCTGGTGCTGGGTTTATTGGAGGAGCTAAAAGAGGTGTGTAATTCTTCTGGGTTCCTGTAGGTTATGTGGCGGGATGACCTCTTCTTTATCATGTAGGGAGAAGGGGTGAAGTGGGTGAGAAGCACCATGGTGTGAGAATAGTTTTCTAATGAGTTTCTATACAGCGTGAGGCATTTGTGAGTATATGCTGTCCGTCCGTGAGCCTGTATGCATTAATAATATGCTGTGTATAATTGGCTTAGCAATTTGAAAAACGTGAAAAGCTGAGAGACACCATGTTCCTCATAGTAGGGTATTGAGCCCCCTGAAATTTAGTTGATATTGGAAATGCTGACAGACCCTTAACTCGAGTGGTGTGCAAAGTAGTGCTATAATTCAGTTTAAAGTGGCCTTACATTTGAAAAACATCCTTCTGAATGTCACACATTAATAAGAAGTTCTGAGGAGGCATTTGGTGCAGCTAGTAATCATAATTCTTATTAAAACTGGTGACGTCTGGCCCCCAGGGTGTAGCCAGGCTCAAATTGATGCTTTTTGCCGCCTGATCACCAGCATGGCCTAAGTGCTCATTATATTGTAGAGAGGGCCTTTGGAGCTCTCATTAGATTTGACAGGAATTCTCTCTAGGGGGAAACTGGGCATTAGTGAGACTCCTGACAGGCTGAAATTATTCCTGCTTTATGGCTTATAACGAAATGCTAGCAAGGCATCATCAGGGGACACAAAAAATTGTCATTTCTGACAACATCTTTGTTACTGGGAAAAAAAAAAAAGCAGTGAAGGGGAAACTTTCTGTACAGAGAGCTTTAATGCTGTTAAGATTTGTCTCCAGTGTGACGATCGCTCTCCCTTCCCACCTTTCAACGGGTTTGTTGAAGGAGTGAGTTCTAGAGATTTCAGTGTCAAATCTCACTGCTGACTTTCCCGTCTGGAAGTTTTAAAGTGAAAGTGCATCCAAATCAAGAATGGTATAATTGTGGTTTCCTTCCCTGAGGTGGTGCCCACAGCCCGTGTTTACGTTGTGTCAACACTTCCTGATAAGCCTTCCCCTTAACTTTATCTGCTCCCATTTGTGGCGGGTTACCGAAAAGGCAATGAAACAGGAATGGTAATAGATACTTAAATCTTTTATGGTAGCACTAAGAATATTTTTTTCTTAGAGCCTTTTATAGATCCCTGCCTGCCCATCTTTATCTGTGTGGATGGTAAACTCTAGATATCTCTATACAGTAGAGGTAGACAGTGTCTCCTGAAAAATTGAGGCAGTTCTGATACCATCAGAGTGTTAGGGTGCGTTAAAAAACAACTAGTTGATGTGAGCCTGGTGGTTTGCTTAGCTATGCCTAGTGTGTGTGGTGGCGTGATCTTTAAATGTTTTTATCTGTCATATGGCTTGATATTACCTCATTTGATATTTTTGGGAACAAGATGTACTGTAAATGCACACATAAGCCTTATTTTAGCCCACTCGTGTATCTCTTCAGCATGCTGATGAAGCCATGCTATAAATTGTCATTGGTGGCTTTAATTTGCACAGTAATGAACAGTTTTCAATGTGATTTGTCTTCTGTGACCTCCATAGGCATCCTCCGGCGTAGATTGGGCAGGTGTTTTGCTCTACCCACAGCTGTGGGCATGTGTTCAAAGTCTGGGACTTGCTCAAGGCCAAGCATCTATTGAAACTTGAGTTGGGTTGCCTCCTCCAGGGTTGTCTGTGCTGCTTCTTCCTTTTTTTTTGAGACGGAGTCTCGCTCTGTCCCCCAGGCTGGAGTGCAGTGGTGCGATCTCTGCTTACTGCAAATTTTGCTTCCTGAGTTCAAGCGATTCTTGTGCCTCAGCCTCCCAAGTAGCTGGGATTACAGGTGCCCGCCACCACGCCCGGCTAACTTTTTTTATTTTTTATTTTTTTATTTTTAGTAGAGTGAGGGTTTCACCATGTTGGCCAGGCTGGTTTCGAACTCCTGACCTCAAGTGATCCACCCGCCTTGACCTCCCAAAGTGCTAGGATTATAGGCATGAGCCACCACACCTGGCCTGTCTGTGCTTCTTCCTGTCCCCTCATGCTGCCATCGGCAAGATGAGGTGGACCATGTGTCCCTAGTACCTGCCTCTTCAGTTCTCAGTCTTTGTGCTGATGAACTTCATGATTTATAAGACATGTCAGGGCTGGATGTATGTTCTAAAAGTTAGGAAAATCAGCAGTGCTGCTGACTGGTCTTTTCAGGGAGAGGAGGGTTACAGGCCACAGGTAGGTAAAAAGTTGTATCCTACTGAGCAGTACTGTCGTCAGGTTAAAGTACATTGAAGAAGAAACAAGTCAGGAATCCTAGTGGAGACCCAGTGATGGGGAGGGAGTTCGATCAGTCACTCTGTGCCTGGGTTCTGAAGAGTGGGCAGAGTGAGAGCACTGGGCTCTCCAGGATGGTGAAGAAGTTTGTTTTTGTTTTTGTTTTGAGACAGAGTCTTACTCTCTCGCCCAGGCTGGAGTGTGGTGGCCCAATCTTGGCTCACTGCAACCTCCGCCTCCCGGGTTCAAGCGATTCTCCTGCCTCAGCCTCATGAGTAGTTGGGATTATGGGAGTCCACCATCATGCCTGGCTAATTTTGGTATTTTTAGTAGAGACCAGGTTTCACTATGTTAGCTAGGCTGGTTTCGAACTCCTGACCTCAAGTGATCTGCCCGCCTCCGCTTCGCAAAGTGCTAGGATTACAGGCGTGAACCACTGTGCCCCTCTGATGGTGAAGCATTTAGAAATAAATGAAAGGATTAACTCTTGAAGAAAGGATGATATATTCTGCAATCCTGGTTTGGGAAGGGGAAAGAGCTCCATGTGATATTTCAGCAAGCAACGTCTCAGGCCATGTAAATTTTGGAGTGAAACTGCTTTTACAGTTTTGATGTATGCTTTAAAATTTCTCTTAGAATAATGCGTTGTTCTTTAGTGGGTTTTTAAAAAAGTATTTAGATGGGACTGTTAGGGACTCAACTGTGGGATATTTCCTTAGATGTGATTCTTTTACTCTTTGCAAATTTTACCTTAGTGTTTTTTTTTTTTTTAACCACGTGTGTTTTTGTCTAAAGTTTCTCACTTTGAGATTTCTTTTCCCCCTAAGTCAACATCTCACACAGGGAAATGACTAGAGTATAGACACTTAGAGTTAAGCTCCAGCAGGTGTTAATAACCTTGTTATACAAAGAGGGTAGCTGTCATCAAGATTGGAGTGGTCCCTAACTTCATTAGGCAGGCCTGTTCTTTGCAAGCATAAGTTAAAAGAGATAAAAGCTCTCTGTGCATTTAGAGCCTAGATTCCGAGGTGCAAGATAAGC